TCAACTACTATCTTAAAAACGTGTTGTAATAAGGTACTTTATACTTTTTACAAATATATATATTTATACAAAGTATAAATTAAAGACGAAAACTTTTGATTGGTTTGACGACTCAACTCGGTATCAACAATGTGAACTTTTGAATTAAAACGTTTATGTTTTGAGTCCGATCCGGGTAGATTCAAGTATTGAAAACAGATTTTAGAGGCAAAAATTGCGATCTCTGGCGTACTTTTTTCAATAAATCTACCGAATTTCTTAAACCTGAGATCAGGGCATTTCTTTCCGATTTATTCCAGAATTAAGAAAATATAACTCTTGAACAAATAACGAATATAAGTCAAGCTCACATATAAAAACAAAACGAACATTACATCGTTGCTCTGCTTTATTTATAACTAGCCGAAGTGCCCGGCGTTGCCTCCCGTGGATTAATATAACAAAAATTCGAACTTTTGAAAACGAAAAAAAATTAGAATTTTGAACAAAATTTGAAATTATGAGCCTAGGTTACCCTAGGTTACCCATGGGTTACCTGATAAAAATTAAGCCAATTTGGTTCAGCCGTTTCGCCGCCTATAGCTAACACATATACAAATATTTACATATATGAGCTTTGTTGTTATTGACCCAGTGGTTACCTCAAAAAAAGTTATCTAATTTGGTCCAGCCGTTTGGCCAGCTATACCTAACATTCGTATAAACAAATATATAAAATCAACTTATTATTCAATCAAAAAAGAGATTTACATCCTCATACATAAGTCGTGTATATATGAGCGAAGAGCTTTATTAAATAGATAGATAAATGCACAATTTGTAATTTAAGCGTGTCCTGTTCTATAATTTAATTAAAGGAATTGTTATAATTTTTCATTTAAAACGCTCCGCTGACTAAGGATGAAGGATGAAGAGAAAAAGAGAGAAAAATAGGATTAATTGGTAAAAATGTGATGAAATAAAAGAAAGAAATTTAACAAATTAAATAACATAGAAAAGTTTAAGTTTAATAAATTAAGAAAGTTTAAACTAAGTCTATCGATGGCCCTGATTAGCTAATGCACTTAATTGAATGAAACACTTAATTAGTGAGTTAGTGAGTTAAATCTGTGCAGACCAGAAATGCAGGGGTTGCTAGAGCTAAAGGCCCTTCAGAGAATAGTTTTCTGTGTATAAAAAGCTAGTGTTAAATTGGATAATCTTCTTCCCATACTTTTAGGAAAAGTTAGCTGGAGAAGGGTATAATATGAAAAAGTAAATATTGGGCCGGATTCTAGAGTTTTATAAAGTAAAAAGTTGACATTTAGTCTTTGATCCTTTTGCAGACCAGATAAAATAAACTTTATATTATGTTTCCCTTTTCTTAAATAATTAGGTTACGCTTGCCCAGGCAAGAAATAACAATTCAATTTGGGCTTTATATCTGATTGAATCACGTACTCACATGTATTATAAAAGAAAGAATAAAAAATAAACAAAGAATAATTCTTGTAACAGACCTCAACTATATATATTCTACTTAAGTGGCGTCAAAGAAATTATTTTGGAACTAATATATCTGAAGTTGGATTAAATGGATTAATAGTATGCAACTGGATATGTGCAGTGCCTTAACTGAAATCTAGAAAATCGAGGTTTTAATGATTCCTGCATTTTCTTAAAAATTAATTTACTCATACTATGTACTAATATATTTAAAAAAAAACTTTGATAGTTTTTATTAGTGTGTATAATATAAATGTATATTATGAAAGTTGACATAGCAGAAAATAGAATGATAGGAAAAGCCTTTAAAGTTTTTATGAAGGTGTAGCATATTTATATAAAATAAGAAACATCTTATTCATTACTGGATCAAGATTATTTTTATAAATGTACACCTTGGATTATATTTCAGATTGCTGTATACACATTGCACCTTACATAAAGTATGTCCATTATTCAACCTGTCGTCTTGCCATTCGTGAGAAAATAAAAATAATAAAAGTTTTGTTTAAATTTCTTTGTAAAAGGAAATGATCAAAGAAATAAAAAATTTAATTACAAATAAAGCTTTTTTGTTTAAATTTCATAAAAAACAATGTTTGTTAAATTATTTTTTAGCGGTAAATTGATAACAAGTACTCATAGATACAGAGACTTTAACTTCTACTTTTATTTATATATAATATTAGGCTTTTAGGGCGCTTCGCGCGCATCTTCTATTTCAACTTTTAACTGTGGCTTTATCTGTGACCATATTCTCTTCGTACAGTATAAAAAATAAAATAAAAAGTTTGCGGATTTCATAATAATTTTTCGAATGAACGGACGTCTCTGTCCAGTCCATACAGATATTCTAATTTCTAACTTCTATTGTCAATGTTTCTCTAGTACGTGACAACAGTTACAGGGTGTCAATAAGTAGAAAAATGGCAAGCAACGGAAAGTCAAGAAAGTTTAAGAAAACCCCCCCATATAAAAAATACTCAAAAATCTTACTTTTGTCCTTTATAGCTATAAAAGTTTCATTAAAATGTAATGTAATGTAAATATGTCTTTGATATCATTATTTATAATAATACAATATGTGTCGTTTCTATGAAAATATAGATATTTTTTAAGAAACGTTTCCATCTCTTTTTTTCACCCACAGTATTAAGAGGGATTGTCTGATGAGTCCACTTAAGTGAATTACATAAATCATTTATTAACACTTGTTATATGGAAGTGTGTAAATAATCGAATAGTTTACATAGTTAAAAAAGGTATCAATATTTTTTCAAAAAAGGGGTTTTAAAGGGGGGGGCAAAGTGTTGCCAAGGGGGGCACAGTGTTGCCAAAGGGGGCACAACAATTTTTTCTGACACACGCCTTCAAACTTGATAGAAATTCATACAGAGCTGAAAACTTTAGAATAATGGATATTGAGATTAATGCTTGATCCTCTCTTTTTCTTAATATCGAGACTAACTTAATCTTGTACTTGTATCCTGAAAAGTGAATAAAATTCAACCAATCAGAGTCGCATGTATGAAGCCGATAAATTTGAAATATTGCACGCCATTTAAGATTAATATACAGAAACGGGAGGGACTCTCTAATTTAAAAAAAAACGGTTTTTGATTTTTCTTCTATATCCAAGAAAGAACAGTTTAAGAAGAAAATCAAAAGTGTGTCCATTGGATACTAAGTTTAAGTAATCGGGATTAAGGATATCTCATTCTAAAGTTTTCGGCTCAAGTCACTTTAACTGTAAAAAATTCCAATTTTTGATGCTTAAAATCTCATGGATTCTCAGAATGGACAGACCTCGTAGGTCACCATATAGAACAACTTAAAATTGGCCATGTTAGGTTCTTGGTATTCATTTTCTATTCTATCCAAAGCATACTTTTCACCGTTTTTGATTTTGTAGGTTTAATATTGATCATCAATACCTAAAAAGGATTGACCCCCAAAAGTCAGAATCTGAAACTTCTAAAAAAAATGTTGTATTCGGTGCACAGTTAAAGGTTTTGATGTTTGGTCCATGTTTTACTGTTAGTGATTGACCTCCACAATTGGCAATTGCATAACTCTTTAAACCCATGACTTATGAAGGATGAAAAACAGATTTATTTTAGTTTAGACTTGCGGATCTATACTGAAGAGAATATGGAGGAAATTATCTTTTTCAGATAAAAAGTGATAATATAATTTAATTGTTACTCACTCATAAAACACAATTAACTCTGGAAATACAAACTCTTGAAATACAAACTTTTTACATAAAAACTCCTGAAATACAAACTCTTGAAATACAAACTCTTGAAATACAAACTCTTCACATACAAACTCATGAAATACAAACTCATAAAATACAAACTCCTGAAATACAAACTCCTGAAATACAAACTCATGAAATACAAACTCATGAAATACAAACTCATGAAATACAAACTCATGAAATACAAACTCATGAAATACAAACTCATGAAATACAAACTCATAAAATACAAAGTTATGAAATAATAACACTTGAAATACAAACTCATGACATCTAAACTCATGAAATACAAACTCATGAAATACAAACTCGTGAAATACAAACTCGTGAAATACAAACTCATGAAATACAAACTCATGAATTACAAACTCATGAAATACAAACTCATGAAATACAACCTCATAAAATACAAACTCATGAAATACAAACTCATGAAATACAAACTCATAAAACACAAACTCATGAAATACAAACTCATGAAATACAAACTCATGAAATACAAACTCATGAAATACAAAGTTATGAAATACAAACTCATGAAATACAAACTCATGACATCTAAACTCATAAAATACAAACTCATGAAATACAAACTCATGAAATATAAACTCATAAAACACAAACTCTTGAAATACAAATTCATGAAATACAAACTCATGACATAAAAACTCATGAAATACAAACTCATATAACACAAACTCTTGAAATATAAACTCATGAAATACAAACTCATGAAATACAAACTCCTAAAATACAGAAGCATGAAAAATGATCCGAAAAACAAAAAAGTCGAGATAAAAAATTCCGAAAGGAAAATATGAATATTCATAAAATGGCATTTAAATCTTGGGTGCAAAAGCATTTTCGTGTTTTCCATGAATTTAAATTATTAAAAATGTATTTATGAAAAGAAAATCTTGAGGAAGTGAAAGAAAGACACTACTAGGTCGAACAGGGTTCCGATTAAAACCAGCACAAAAATCTCAGATCTCTACAGGAAGAAAACACTCTAAAGAATTCTTCCAACTGCAGGTTCAATCTGTAGCAGATTGCCCAATTAATTTATTATAATTATAAAATACAATATGCAGAGAATGAAAAAAATATCCATTCAAGAAAATAAAATCTTTGATAACTCGGAAATAAGTGATAATTTCTAACATGGATAAATTCGTCCTTTAAATTAAAAATAAAAAGAATAAGAAACGAATCTCAGTTCTATAAAAATAATGTAGTAATGTCTAATTCATACCTAAATGTGCTATTTCACAAAAAAATATTATGTTTAACTGATGTAAAAATGGCGGACACAGTACAGATTTTAGTAAAGTTTACAAAACAAAACTGGTTTCGTTTAGTTATTACAAACACAGTCCCTCTCTCAGCTCGGGGGTTTCACATCTTCTAAGAGAAGGGCTCAGGGGCGGGGAGTTTAAAACGAGATGATTACGTTGCGTAACATGCGTAACATTGCGTAACATGTGAAACATTGTGGGGAAGAAATAAAAAAGTTTACTGGACTGGATTTCAGGAATAAAATGTAATAAAAAATGTTCGCGAAAACTCTATTCATACATTTTTCAAGTATTTTAACAATTGTGCTGACTTGTGACAGTTCACCATCTTAGGTGTTCAAATACAAAATTCAAAATTTTATATTTTAGAACAAAACGTTGCTTCTTCGTTAAAAGAATTTTTAATGCATAACATATGTTATAATTACAAATAACATGTACAAACAATAGGAAGAAACTGCACAGAAGACATTTCGCCTACTTAAAAAACTGTGTTTGGATTTAAAATAAAAATATAAAAGTTCTGTGATTTTTGCCATGATGTGTACTTTTCGCTTCTGATGGGCCAGAATGTTAATAAACTTTGTTAAAATCTAAATAAACGTTGATCGAATCTTAAAAATCTTTGAAAGAATTTCATAAAACTATTGATAGAATCTCTGAACACTTTGATGGAATCTTGTAATACTTACAAGAATATCATACAGCATTTAAACTATTTTAGAATCTCATAACACTTTGATATAATATCATAAATATTAAATAATCTCACAAATCTTTAAAAAGAACATAAAAAAAAATTCCGCACTGAAACGTCATTAAAAGGGAATGGGCACATTACCCCCCCCCCCCATGACACAAATTTTCAAGGGGTCACGCCTTACTTTTTGGAGTCAATGAAACCACGCCTTCATTTTTGGAGCTATTTTCATGAGATTTTGCCGAAAGGTTAGATTAGTGATTAACTCTAGAAATTTTTTTTAACGTAAACAATAAAAATATAAGATAATTTTCCTCGCATTTTAATCTTTTTATTTTAATAGATTTTCTTGATTTTTAGAACAAATAGGGCCTGTATTATGGTAAATATCTTTCCTAATTTTTTATGCCTTTATGCAAATAAAAAAAATTATTTTTACCGCCATCAAAATCAGTAAAAAAAATGGGGTAAACATCATTATTTTTAAAGATAATTTACAAAAAGTTTGCAGGGAATTTAGATTCAGGTCTGGAATAAGTTAAACTAGCATTTTTGGCGGATTTTGTATTCATAAATCTTATTTTTTTGTCTTTGTTGCATCTTAATCTCACTAGTATAATTTTGCCCTCTAAAAAGGGAGTGACTGAATAATTTCCTTTCACAAAAAATTAAAAATACACTTTTGCAGCCTACAGATGCGCTTTACATACAAATACACGAATCCTTCAAGGGAAATGTGAAATAAATTCAAAAAGAAAGAATTATGTTTTCTTTTTTTCTTCCTGTTCAGTGTAATGTATGTATTGGAACTTTTTTGATTAATATACAGCTTATATTGGATTAGTTACATACACAGATTAAGAAAGTAATAAGCATAAAGAAGAAAATGATTAATAACACTTTTAACAGAATTACTCCCTCTCTCTCTCTCTTTCTCTCTCTCTGTATATATATAAACAGAGAGAGAGAAATATATATATATATACAAACGCACTGTGATTAAACTCCAACAGAGAGCAAAACTTTTGAACGTGATGTCGCTAAGCTTGAGACTTTAACTCAATAAATCTTCACAAAATTTAGATTTGAGCTGGATAAACGCTTTGAATCGGTGAATCTGGCCCTTCATTGGTGCAAATGGTTGAGCCGTCTAAGGATACAGCAATAATAAGTTTCTACCACAAACAATATAAATTTATATTGTATATCGTACAGGGTGTCCCAAATAACATTAGATCGTTTAGAGCTCATATAATCTTTACGAAAATTCAGAAAATTTAGAAAGATTGAATAGATGAATCTTTTGTCTAAAAAAGACAAAAAAAATAATCCCAAATAAGAATTAAGCAAATTCCTCAAAAAGGTTTTATTTATCATGCTGAGTCTGAGACCAGTCTTGCTGGAAATAATATAATTGTTCTTTAAGATATTTTCTTCAAATAGAATACAGATATTATTATATATGTGGAAAAGGATGGAAAGGATGGAAATAGATGGAATGGATGGAAAGGATGGAAAGGATGGAAAGGATGGAAAGGATGGAAAGAATGGAAAGGATGGAAAGGACGGAAAAGGATGGAAAGGATGGAAAGGTTGGAGAGGATGGATAGGATGGAAAGGATAGAAAATATGGAAAGGATGGAAAGGATGGAAAGGATGGAAAGGATGGTAAGGATGGAAAGGTTGGAAAGAATGGAAAGGATGGAAAGGATTGAAAGGATGTAAAGGATGGAAAGGACGGAAAGGATGGAAAGAATGGAAAGGATGGAAAGGATGGAAAGGATGGAAAGGATGGAAAGAATGGAAAGGATGGAAAGGATGGAAAGGATGGAAAAGAAGGAAAGGTTAGAAAAAATTGAAATGATGAAAAGATGGAAAGAATGGAAAAGAAAGAAAGGATAGAAAGGATGGAAAGGATGAAAAAGAAAGAAAGGATGGAAATTATGGAAAATCTATAGATTAAAAAAAAGAGTATTGTGAATACTAATTAAAGGGATTTTGTGGATTAAGAGTAAAGAACAAGATTAATGTAATAATGAGGATTAAAGAAAAATGATGAGATTCAAGAAAATACAAATAATGAAAAATGGAAATTAGGGAGACCAGCAAAACTGTGGAATATGGATGGGTTTGTTATTATTTTATTATTATTTAATTTTGAGATCAAGCATCAAGATCTATCCCGATATTCATCATTCAAAAGTTCCCAGCTCAGGATAGAAAACATAAAAAAAACCGTTTGAGAATTTAAAAAAATTTAATCCAAAAAGAATTAAGAAATATGAAGTTGGTAGTTAGACGGTTTAAGAAAAACTGACCCCCCCTCTTTACAGTTTCGTTTCCGAGATCCATCTTCTCTCTCTCTCCCTCCGCCCGGTCTCTCGGAGGTTTCAGGTTAACAGATTCTCCGAGATAGTAAGGTAACAGGAACAAAAATTCGAACCTATACGCTTGGACGAAAACTTTAGGTTGAGATGGAGCTAAGCTACAACGCGCTAATTTAGCTAAGCTCTAAGGAACGATCTGATTTAGATGTTTTCACGTATTCACAACAATGTCCAAAATCGTGGGATTTTTAGGAAAACATGGTTTACAGGTACAATTATCTAATATTAGCATTTAGCAACAAGAAAATAATATCATATTTCCAGTGTCCGAATTAATGAATTTAAGCCGCGTCTCATATCTCTCAAAAACCGGTTTCAATTGAGCGCCGGCTTAAATCTTGAAAAATTAATACAATTTTAGGTGAACCAACCATTATTGAGCCCTGGCTCAAATTTAAGTCTCGGCTTAATTTCTTTAAATCCGGCCTCGGCATAAATAACTTCTTTTGTCAGGTGAGCTTGAATTAAAGGGAGATCGGCTATGTAAGGTAGTTCAACTGAGTATGCAGTGTTGTGGACAAATTCTTTAGAATTCATTTGAGACATATAAAACTTTTTAAAGATCTGTAAATCCTTAGTTTCAGCGCAAAATCGACGTTCAAAATCGTACTTTTGAGTAAATACGTTTTCAGAATTGTTTTTTTTAAGTTATTAAATAACGACGACAAAAAATGCAAACAAAATTCTACAGTAAAGTGATTAGTTGTTAAAAACGGGTTGAGCAAATAAAAATTAATCTTATCATTGAAAATAAGTAATCTCGTTCAATTATTAGTCTATATTTTCTCATTATTCTTGTTTCTAATTATTCACAAAGATTTTCTTCAGATTTTCTGAAATTATTATTGAAACGACGACATTTGAGGAAATCTGCGAATAAATTCAAGGAAAATAAGAAATTCAATATAATGATGAAAACGAAATAATTGATTCTAACTTCGATTTATTGACACATTTTTTTTGGGAAATATGTTCCTAACGATCAAATTAGATTACTGTATAATTTTTACTCTATTTTTCGTCGTCGTTATTTAATAATCTAGAAAAACATTCTGAAAACCTATTCTGGTTTCACGACTTTATTTTCTTAATATGATTCAAATCTATAAAATTTGATACGCATTTGGAAAGCTCTTGGGCTCTATTTCAATATTCTGCAAAAAAAATGGCAAATTTTCAAAAATCAAAATATTTATTGCAAAATTTAGTTATAAAGCAAAAAAAGCGCAGAAAAATTACACTAATTGCAAAAAAATATACATTATTGAAAAGCCAGCAAATTCAAATGTGCAGAAACATTTGCAAAATTTTTAAAACATGTGTATTCAAGAAAACTGAAAATGTTCAAATTAATGATTGATTCTAACTTCGATTAATTGACACATTTTTTTGGGAAATATGTTCCTAACCATCAAATTAGATTACTGTATAATTTTTACTCTATTTTTCGTCGTCGTTATTTAATAATTTTTAAAAAACATTCTGAAAACCTATCCTTCCAAAAGTACGATTTTGATCGTCGACTTTGCGCTCAAACTCAGGATTTACAGATCTTTAAAAAGTTGTATATGTCTGAAATGAATCCTAATGAATTTGTCCACAACACTGCATACTCAGTTCAACTATCTTACATAGCCGGGTTGTCCATTTAATAAAATGATGAATTAGTGATTTTAAAAGAGAGAAAAAATACTATGGTTATCACATCAAATCCGTGGCACTTATGGTGGGACCGTGGGACGTGTCATCGTCGTTCTTTGTGTATTAACCCTATTTATTCTGATTTCATGACTTTATTTTCTTAATATGATTCAAATCTATAAAATTTGATACGCATTTGGAAAGCTCTTGGGCTCTATTTCAATATTCTGCAAAAAAAAATGGCAAATTTTCAAAAATCAAA